GGGTTGAAATAACAATAAATTATCTTTTAAAAAGGCATTGGGTTTATGAGGGGGTCCCTGGAATTTATTTTGCCCTTGTAAAGGGTCCCCAGATCCAAACGGCTTGAGAACCCCTGCTTTAGAGTTTATCGTCTATAAAGAATGAATCCAAAGTGCTTCCTTTAATTGTGCCAATTTGCACGGCTCACAGTAGACTGCCTTGGTCATTTCTAATTTGAGTTGGGTGGACCTGAGTCTGGAGATCATTGAAGATTGGGAACTACACACAGAAGGCTGAACACTGAACGTATTCATACACAAAACACCACCTCTGCCTTTTATTGGGGTGCACTGTGGAAGAGTTGGTTAGCAGAGTTTCCCCGCAGCAAAAAAGGTTGTAGGTTCAACTCCCAGCTGGGGTATTTTTGCGTGAAGTTTGCACATTCTCCCTATGCATTTATGGGTTTTCTACAGAAGTGTATAACTGTCACATAACATAAACTAAAATTATTGTTTAGCTGTATTTTGTTTCAATGACAAACTATCTCGTAAGAATGAAAAAAACTGGGCTTGGACAATAATTCAATAGCAATATATAACTGACAAGAGATCAATAAAAATAGAAAAGCAAAACCAATATATATGGTGATATATTCACGATCAATACAAGTGGAAATTTTTTGTCCAATAGAAGCTTAAAAATTTCATTGAGCTCCGATCCAAAATCACATGCAAATTGCAGAAAGGCTTTAGTCACTTGACCTCTCATAGCCCAGTTGAGCAAGGTTGGTGGCATCACATAACTCACTCATTCTTTGGTAATGTGCACAGCAGCAGGGTCCTGTTTTGCCACAGTGCCTCATAACTACTTAAAGTGTATCTTATCTTTGTGCATTTACTCCATTACAGGATGGGGGAAATTGGACATGGTGGAGGTTTGCACTCTCTGAGTGCTTCTAGTTTTTCTTGTATTTAGTTCTCTAAATCTCTCCAAACTGTACTGAAAGGTTAACAAGCCTGGTCTAGAATGATTTATGTAACTAGTTTTCCGTTATAAGATTCTCAACTCCTTGGATTTACAGTAAATGGCTTTGAAATGTCAAGAAATTTTGACTTTCTATTGTTAGAAAATTCTCAAACAGCCTATATAAAACAACAATGCCCCCCTTGTTGATCACTGTTGAATATAAATCATGTCCTAATGTGATACAAATTTGACCTTATTTATGAGCCAGTGTGATTCGCACACAAATAACTCTAGCAGGTGGGATGTCCTTTACTTCTGAGGTCTTTTGAGCCGAGTGATCCAGTACAGACCCCTGCTATCTTTAGTGGGTCACAGACTGTGAATGGACCGTCTAACTTTATCTGGCCCTGTGTCATGAAAGCTGTTGGTATTTTTAGGGGGTGGCTTGCAGTGGCAGCAGCTGCGAAAGCATTTATTCACTCACCCCTTCTCTCGCTTCTACTCTTTAGCTGTTGGACAATGACAGAATCAGAGCTAAAGCATGCACCACGCGTTCAGAAAGAATGAACACAATCAAGGAAGGACACCTGCAACTGTGACTTGCCAATTGTGAAAGGGGGATTTTTTTTTTCTTTCTTGTGAAGAAGCACAAGAGATCCAAAGGTACGCTGAATAGGAACCGTAATCTGTAAGCCACAAACCAAGAAGAAGACAAGGAATGTTACAACAAAGCAACAAGTTTCCATATCAAGAAAGTATCGAAGAGGAATTGAATGTCAGCTGAAACAACTAATACATGCCTGATTGCTTAAAGAATGTAAATTTGGAGTCAAATTGATAGTAATGCTTTACAGAAAGTGACTTTCAGAGAAAGGTAAGTTTTATTTGCCTATGTTCTTTTAAAGTTTGAGAAAAAAATTCAGTTTTCTGCTAAAAATATTAGAAACGGTCTAGTATTCAGTTTTCTTTTTTGTACTTTGACACATGGTCTCCAGCGTCAGGCTAATTTAAAAATACCCTCTTCAATGAGTTACAGCACCAGCTGTAAGATAACCATAGTTGTTGTGTGTTTGCTTAAAATCCCTTTAGCTAAACTGCAAAATATCATACTAACACTGTTACTGGTCAGTGTGCCTTTTGGTCATTGGATTTTCCTTTTAGAAATGGGTATTTAAAAAAAAGGAACAAGTGACTATTTGATTTTTGTTTTAAAATACAGAAATTAAAATCAAAATACAAAGTATTTCCCTTTCTTAGTGTCAAAAGGGGATGAGGAAAATGTTAAAAATCATTTCATTATCTGTTTCGGATGACAAAAAGAAAATTACTTTGAAAAAGTTCATATTATCAACAGGTTGTGCCAAATTACTGTATACCTAAAATAATCTGCTCCCCCACCAGAAGTGGCGCTCACAATATGAAATTATTCAATGAACATCCCATTACAAATAAAAAGCATCAACAATGACTTTGGTATCGAGTATATTTGCCAAGTATTTACTTGGTATCAGATCAATATCAAACTTGTAGTATCGCCAACAACGTCGCTGATGGGAATTGACAGAAAAGAACAGATTTTGTCAAAACGATGAGTAAAAAAAAATACCCTTTCTGCTCACAGAACAACCGTGCAACACACTAATGAAATGAAATTTGTCTTCTTAAGCTTTTTAATGATAGAAATGGAGGTAATAAATCAATAAAAGAGGTTTATTTGTCAAAAAAGTAAGAAAACACACAAACCACCTTTGTAAAGCCATTGGTCAAAGAGTGACAATCATACAACTCATTTATGAACATACTGTACATGTCTGTGTTTCAGCCTTTTTTTTTGACAGAAATTAGTATTTTATTATGCAGAACTGCCAGCTAAGTGCCCCTTCCGGTGGGAGAACTGATTATTTTTGGGACACAGTGAACGCCCATTTCTAAAAGGAAAATCCATTGACCAAAAGATACATGGACTGTTCCCAATGTGCTAACTTTAACTTTGTCTTTGGCATCTGAAACATTATGTTTTATGTCAGATTTGAGTCATTTGTTTCCTGCGAATAGTAAATCACATTTGATTGGAAATGTGTGAATTTCTTGCATCTCTTACTGGAAATTTAAGCAAGAACATAATTTTCCTTCTAACATGTTTACTATCATTTTTGTTGTTTAGATTGTCAAGGTAAAGCGTCCAGACTTCACCTACAAACTGCAGTCATTTCAGTCACGATCAAAAGCTAACTTTACAAACCATAAACCAAAAAAACCATTAAAAACTCTAATTTAGTCATTAAGGCCAAAGGAGGAATTGCTATGGATATTCTGGGTGGTGCGCCTCGTGTTTTGGGCTACCCTCGGCCTGTAGTGGCACAGTGTGGGACAGATGCAACGCTGAGGTGCCAAATTGGTGGAGACCCTCGTCTGGATGTAATCTGGGAACGTAAAAATGTCCAGATTTTGTCTGAGGGGCGACACAAGCTAACAGAGGAGGGAAAGACGTACATGTTGACCATTACGGGAGTGACCCAGCAAGACGCTGGCCAGTACATCTGCAAGGCTAGAAATAGCGTAGGTGAAACCTATGCAGCGGCCTCGCTCAAAGTGGAAGGAGAGCCCCTTGTGCAAAAGGAAGAGGTGATGCAATCGGGGGTCAATTGGGAAAAACAAGCAAAGAACGCAAATGAAGAAGCAGGTGGATATTTAAATGGTTACAGTACAGTAGTGAATGGTGTAAATGAAAAGGAAACAAATGAGAAGTGGAAGAATACGATGAATGAAAAGCTAGAAGAAGTTGATTTAACGACCAATGATAAACCTCGATTTCTCATCAAGCCTCTGTCTCTGCGTGTGGACCGAGGAGAGGACGCTGCCTTCTCGTGCAAGATCTGGGGCACGCCTTTGCCCCAGGTGACTTGGGAAAAAGACGGGAAAAAGCTGAACGACATCTTCGAGAGTTCACACTTCAGTGTAAGCAATCAAGACGGGGGATGGTTTCAGCTCAAGCTCTACAGGACGCGCACGCCAGACAAAGGCGTCTACACCTGCAAGGCTGTGAACTGTCATGGCGAGGCCTTGGCAGGAGCTGTCCTCCTCGTTGAGCCGGTTCCAGAGCGAGAAGAAAGTAAAATGTCTTCAAATGGCAACAACAGCAGCCAGAGGTCACCGAAGCACAGAGGTGGGAGGCTCAGTTTGTCGAGGCTCACAGAGGAACCGCCTGTCAACGCAACCAAGGCAAAAAAATTTGCAGTAACAGAGGGGAAACACGCCAAGTTTCGATGCTTTGTGACGGGCAAGCCAAAACCGGAGATCATCTGGAAGAAAGATGGGATTCCCCTGGAGCCGGGCAGACGCCATCTGATCTTTGAGGACAGAGAAGGTTATTACACACTGAAGGTCCTGTACTGTAAGGTGCAGGACACAGGGTTGTATGTGTGTGCTGCATCAAATGCTCTTGGAAACACCCTTAGTGCCGTTCATCTGTCAGTGAAAGGTAAGCAATACGATCTAGTTTCTATTCAAAACTACTTGCTGAAATCCTAACAAACGCGATGTCTTGTAATGTTGATTATTGATTTAAATGCCATTAAACAGATAACAATCAACCTTAATATACACTGCCTGGCCAAAACATGTCACCACCAAAAGTGCTGTTCAATCAGAGCTGATCAAATAATTATCTGACAGGCTTGTTCATTTCAGTGTTTATATCTGAACCTGCCGATGACTCGATGCTCGGGTGAAACATTTTATTTTTAGAACAAAGTGCGTTGATTATAAAGTATCAAACTTTAAGAATGATACGAGCTCCTGAACGAAGAAAGACATTACAATACGTTCTGTGGACTCTCAATCAACCAGGACATGAAAAATTAAAGGGGCAATATCATTTAAAATCAACTTTTTTGAGTTTTATATCATGTTTTAATGTTATACTCTCATAAAAAACATGCCCAAAGCCTTGCTCTGACTCATTCATGCATGTTTGAGAAATCCTGCAGYGTTTTTAGGAAGCCATGCTGAGGAGCAAAATGACAGAAGGAGACCAGAAACACCTTTTGGTACCAGAAACGCCCCTGGGACGTGTCTTTAAGCTGAACTTCCTCATGGCAGAGCACCCCCTTCTCCCCTCCCCACACACCCCGCCCATGACTCCTGCAGGCTCTCGGGTGAAACTGAAAGTGAAACTTAAACTGTCTGCGGAGCTCTCAACATTACTTCTCACTCAGTGAAGCTCTTTTCAGATTGAAAAAAACCTTTGAGGAAATATATTTTCAGATGCCAAGTAAACTGCATCAAGGCAGCCCTTCTCCCCTCCCCACACACCCCGCCCATGACTCCTGCAGGCTCTCGGGTGAAAGTGAAAGTGAAACTTAAACTGTCTGCKGAGCTCTCAACATTACTTCTAACTCAGTGAAGCTCTTTTCAGATTAAAAATACCTTTGAGGAAATATATTTTCAGATGCCAAGTAAACTACATCATGGCNTTTTAGAAGAGGAAGTGATGAGAAGATAAGTTTATTTTCTATTTAAACATAAAAACAGCATTTTAATAACAACTAAAGGTGACATAGATACTTTATTATGGTATAGTGTTTAAATATATGCCTGAGAAACACATAATATTGACCCTTTAACCATAAAAAAAAATCCCGAAGATACTAGATTTCTGTTCTGTAGCTAAAGACGTGTGGAGTTATATAATTTAAACAGCATGACTCCAAGTTAGTGTCTTTATTGAGCCTTCTCCCCCCTCACCTATAACAAAAAATAAATAAAATAAAAGAATAAAATATCTGAAACTCACCCTAAACTGAAAACGTTTTCTTTCCTTTTTTTTCTGTGGATGTTTTAATCTCCAAAATAAAGGCTATAGCCTGGTTAACTCCAAATGTTGTGGTGGCGATGTCCAGCAACTGAAAAGTTATGATCCAGCTCCTCGGTTCTGGAGCAGTATGTTCTCGATCCACGTTCATTCAAAAACAGAACTCAAAAGCATTAAGAACTGATTAAGTAGCCATGTATTTCTTTCAAACCTGCAGCTTATTGGACGCAAATCCATTGCAAAGGTGTGTTAACAGCCCGAGAACAGCCAAACAAAGCCAGCAAGTTAATCAGCTCTGCAGTTCCCCACCCCGAAACACAAACAGCCTGTCAGCTCTTTTTACTCTTTTAACTTTTTACTCTTTTTACTCTGAAAACAGGCTGAATTCAAACACAAAGTTTATCATTTTAAAACATCCAAAACTGCTATTTAAAGCACAGGGTGGACTCTTCGTAAAAAAATAATAAAAAAATAAAAAATAAAAAAACGAGAATCACTATTTTCTCAGAAAATTGTGGCTTTCCTTTTTTCCCAGTTTGTGCATCAGCGGCTCGTTCCTACTTTTGCCGTGGCGCGTCACATATGTCACACAATCTGTTAGCGCTCAGATCATGTGACAGAAATGACTCATCTTCTACCACAAAAAAAAAATAATAAAATAAAATAATTTCTGACTTTCTGTAAAATTGTCAGAGTTGAAACTGTGTTGTGTTTACACAAGCTGCTAAGTGGTGGCTGCCATCTCGAGTTGGATTCACTCCAAAAGTTAATTAGTAGCAGGGTTTTGTAAAATTGGCAAAAAACATATTATCACAATGAATTGTGACATTTAGCAGGTAATGGTTAACATGACAATTATTAGATGACTATTGCACTTGCATGAGGCTGATTCTGTGGCTTCTGGACGTATTTTCTATCCCTCTTTTTGCGCTTATGTTGGTCTTTCAAGCAATGAAACAAGTTTAGGTTTAGGTTAGTTGTTCTGCGCTGTCTTCCACCTTTGGGCTCACATGCGTGCCTGGCAGTGATGGTGTGTTGCATACAAACATCTGTCATCATCACTTGACACTGATTGCAGTAATTGCAAAGTGGTAAATATTATTTCCTGACAGTTTTTCTGATTAATTATACACGATCTGATTCAGTAGATTTGATTACTTTATGAAAGTTTCAATAAAATACATCCTGGTTTAAGAGATATTTGGCTAACAGGCAGATAAATGAATACAGACAAAGGCTATTACAGGATTACATGCTTTTCATGGCTGCATGCAAACACTAGGTCATATTTGTGTAATTTTAGTAGTTTGTATTTGAAGTTTACATTCATGTCATTACCATTTATAGCAGATAATTATTTAATTCTAATCTTTTTTATATAATAGCCAGGTAATCATATGAGTCATGTGTTGCTTCTCATGATAAGATTTTAGAACCAGATAACTGCTTTTGCTGTGTTATTTGTGTCCATTTTATTTTGGGGTTTTGATGTTAGCTGTGTTCAGACCGGATGCGTTTAGCATGTCAAAAACACATCCAATGTCTCAAGTTGGACGCTTGTGCTCATCAAAATCGCTCTATGCTTGGGAGAAGCCTCTTGGTTGTTGTCATCTGCCTGTCTCTGTACAATGGCAGAAACTGAAATTGAGGGAGTGGCTTGGCTTTATTTACTGAGAGCAAAAGGATATCTTCATTGGGCGCCTCTAATTCAGGAGCCCGTCCTGTCGGAAAATGATCCACTATATCACATAGCAGAATCTCTTTGATTGGTTGATGCGGCGCGTCGAGCTGCAAAACTTCAGATTTTCCAACTCAAGCATCTGCCGCTTTGGATGCACTATACGTGCAGGGCTGGATTAACACTTGGCTGTACCCTGGGCAACAAAATTCAAGGGCCCCATCATCACGACCCCAGGATTACCAGGCTGGCAACATACAGCGTAAATTATTGCAATATATAGTAAATATACTCAATATTTCAGATTCTAAGTGTATTTTGATGTACAAATGCTCATAGAACTACAAATACACTACTATGTCCTCTTATCAATGACACTCCGTCACATGATGCTATAAAAACAAAACACATCAGTATAATCTGGTAAACATGACCCACTACATTGAGATCAGGGAAGTGTCCTACATTTACACAAAAGCAACACTTGACATTACACAACCCTCTCAGTCACCTGACCCACCTCATGCTGACTGACCAATGAGGAGAAGATCTCAACTCACCTTCACAGTGACAGGCAGCCTCTCTGTGCAGCACAAGAGCTCCAGCAGACAGTTTCACAACAGCAGCAGAAAACCAGATATTTTGCTGGTGCCTTCAGTCA